AAAAAAAAAAAAAAAAAAGAATGATGGTCCACACAAAAGTGAAGAAAAATTGTAGGCAGTAAAATTTAGAAAATCTTCCTTTATTTCACATGAGTAAATTAACTACATCAGTTACAACCTACAATGTATTAAATGACGAAGATTAATATTATGCACAACCATGTCTGTTCATTAGCAAGTGTGTACATTGTTCATGTGTAGGTTATCAATGAGCCTGGGGTTCACCTGTTTACATAGGCAGTTCCTTTTGTGCAAAGTACCTACTTGGGATTTATAAACAATTATCATTTAATTATTAATGTCAATATCATTTATATTTAGTTATATTATTATTTTATAATTAAATACATCTGTTGTATGTTGCAATGGATGAATGCACTATATGTGTCTGCCTGGCTGATGATCTTAACTGGGACTTGTTTTGGTGTAGGGCTTATATTACAAACATATTACAAACATCCTGATAAGTCATACTAAGACTTAGTTCTCTGTTAGGTCTTATTTTTGGGAAAACATGATATGTGCAAGGTTAAAAAACTTCCATCACTTAATTTGATCATTCTGTTTCTAGAAACTTCCTAAAAACTAATTGGTAGGACATTCTGGGGAAATGGAGGCTAAGTGCATCTGACCTATTGCTGTAGGTGTATTTCCAGTAAGGAGTGTCGCTTTTAGTAAAGAATGTCTTAGTAAGGAATTGTTTTTAGGATCAACACCTGTGGAAAGTGGAGGCTAGAAGAACTTGAAGAGAGGCTGAAATAAAGTTGTGATGGCTTTGGTCACTGCTCCTGAGGAGCTCTGGAGTTACTGTAGGCTGTCATACCTCCCTCAAGCTAGACGAAGATGGCTAGACCTTTACACTCTGCTGATGTGATATTGAAAGTGACCCATCTTGGGAAGGCATGTGATTTTGGGCACGCTGGGTCTTTGCAGCTGAGGCTGCTCGTATAGAAATGCACAGCTAGCTAGAGCTTGACAGGACTCTCAGAGTTCTTCCTTGGGGGCGGGGATTTTAGTGGTTCCTTATAGTGTCTGTCATACCTCCTTTGTACATTAAATGCCAAAGCAAACCTACTGACTTCTGCTGAACCAAATAGCCAATGTGGCTATCAGACATACTGCCTGAAACAATTGAGTTAGTAGAGTGATTTGTTTCTGTAGGTTGGAGACAACCTGAGAGACTTGGACTCCTAGACTGTAGAACAAGCTTTGATATATTCTGATTAATATACGTAATGGTCTATAGGAGTAGTCTAACTGATAGAAAATATGCGTGATAGATTGTAGGAGAAGAGAGCTGTGTAGTTAGTTGTTTAGAAAATCAAGTAGTGAATTACATCACAGTACACAGTAAAATTACAAAAAGAAAGTATGAAGTAAGAGAAATATGAGCTATATAGTATTTCAGAAGACAAAAAGTTATTTGGAAGAACATAACCATTTCTGAACCAAACCTTGAAATATGTAAGATTTCTTCATGTTTTTTATGATGAGCTAGAAGTTTGCCCACTAAGTCCCAGAAATTGTAGCCATTGATACAGCATTTTTTTTTCTTTCACTTTTCCTTCCTACAGGTAGTTTCCCCCTCTCTATTTCTGTTACTGTTGTGCAAAATAGGTTTTCAGTGTTCTTTTTCCTAAGGGTACTCATAGCTTGGGGGAGTTTTGTGCCAAAAGTTGCTAATATGGACAAGTCTTAAAGTCTGAGCTTGATGTAAGTTTTCCTTTTTGCCTTTTTTGAGTCCAATGATGATATTCCATCCTAACATATATAATACGTATAATGATGTGTCATTTATTATATATTAATGCATCAATGTATGCTACACATTGTATTATATACACATGTATAAACATGTCAAAATTATGTATTTGTATGTAAGATTTTTTTTAAATTTTATTTATTTATTTATTTGTGTGTGTGTGTGTGTGTGTGTGTGTGGCCAGCTCAGCCCACCAGGGGGCGGGGCTGGCTGGCATGTCGTGCTGGGGGATTGAACCGCAGTCCCTGTGCTTTGCTAAGCTTGTTCTAAGTAGGTGCTTTAGACCACTGAGCCATCTCACCAGCCCCTTATATGTAAGATTATATATCATAATTATGAATTATATAAAATATATCATACAAGTAATAACTGGAACATAGAATAACATAATTGGAATATAAAATGCATGTTTTTGTAACAATAGTTCAGTTTGGCTTCTATAAAGTTATCAGTGTTTTTGATCAATTTGCTACTATGATTTTCAAACAGTTTTTAAGCATTATAAGCTTATTAAAATAGAAGCTTTCCCTCACACTCTGTTAAGGGCTAGTTATAGTGCTTTAGGAATCTTTTCTTTTTTCTTTTTCTTTTTTAATGTATTTGGTACAGGGCCTCACAGCTTGGACTTGTAGTGATCTGCCTGCTTTCAGCCTCCCCAGAGCTGGGATTACAGGCATGTGCCACCATGCACATACTCTGGCCATCCCAGCCCTCCCTGGGGGTGGGACGGGCTTGCCATGTGGTGCCAGGGATTGAACCGTGGTCCCTGAGCTTGCCTAAGCTTGCCTAAGCAGGCTCTTTAATCCCTTGAGCTATCTCACTGGCCCTGGAATTTTTTCGTGGATACTTGAAAGATTAGAAATGAGGACTGTGATTAGGTTAAAGTGATTTCCCTACAGAGGCTCTGGGGCTGGGTACTTTGTATATCCTCTGGACTTTTAATGATTTATTTGGATTAGGAAACTATATTAGGATCTTAAAATATCAGGCCCAGTGTATGTTAGAATCAGTGTATCTGAGATACTTACACTTTTTAGTCCTTCTGTAGCCCTTTTGCTGCCTTGGCCTTTAGGATGCTGTTCAGTCCTGGATGTAATTATTGTCAAAATACTACAAAAATAAATGGAAAGATAAATAATCATGGGAAAAAAATGACTCAATTGCAAATCAATTCTTGTAATTTGGAGTGTCAACTCAGTAACTGATTAACCAGCTTTCTCCCTGTCTTCTTTTCTGTCTTTTTTCCCCTGCTCCCTCTCTTCCTCCTCTATCAGGAACTTCACTATACATAAGGTTTTTATTTGAGACAAGGTCTTATCTAATCACTGAGTTAACCAGGTTGGGCTGGAACTTGTAATCCTCTTGGTTTAGTCTATCTGAGTTCTGGGGACTACAGATGTGTGTCATCTTGCCTGGGTGTGACTTTAAATATGAGGTTTCACCCTCCCCTCCTGCATTCTACCTAGCCACCAAATCAAGGCATTATATGTGCTAGACATGTCCTCTACACTGAGCTGTATTCCCAGCCCTTTTCTATGCATGCATGTATTTATTGAGGCGGGGGGGTCTCACTAAATTGCTCAGGCTCTCCTCAAACTTCCTCTGCCTCAGCCTGCCTAGTAGCTGGGATTATAGCTGTGTGTCATCATGCTAGACTAGCCTGTGCATCTTTTTTTTTTTTTTTTTTTTTTGTACCGGGGATTGAACTCAGGACCTTGCACTTGCCACACAGGTGCTTATGCTGCTGAGCTATCCCTAGTCCTAGCCTGTGCATCTTAAACTAAAAGTTTAAAAGGTCCTTCTAAGCTGGTCATCAGAAAAATATTCCTCAATGTTTTCAACTAATAACTTTAAGGACTTGTTTTTTTAAATTTAATTTCTTTAATTCTTTGATTTTTTTTCAGGGGGGGTACATGACATAAGGTAGGAATTTCACTGCTTGAGTTTTGGTTACTGTATTAATTCTCCACTGATTGGAAATGCCAACTATATCCTTTGCTAATTCTGGTGAATATCAAGATTCTATATTGAGGATTCAGTTTTGTTCCTTTCTATTCCAATTCTTAATACTTTATAATTTCAGATAGTAAGATATTTTTACTACTTTGAGTTGTTATCTTAACTGTCTTTGCTTGTTTCATTTTACGAAAGTGTGTGAAGTAATGTTTTAGTTCGCTTCGATTGTAAACATCTGAAGTTCATGAATTGGCTTACCTCTAAAACTCCCTTGTATATTAGAATGAATGTATCCAAGCTGCTCCCACTTTAGTCCTGTTTCTGTAGGTCTTTTGCTGTTTTGGCTTTTAGGGTGCTGCTTAGTCCTGGGTGTACTTGTAGGATCAACTGGGGATCTTTGAAATGTCTAAGTGCTTACTCCCCCACTCTTATGATATTCCAATTTAATTGCTATGTCCTGCGGTGTGCTTTTTCATCTTTTTAAAAAGGATATACTTTTCCAATTCTAATGTGGGTATGTTACTTTAGTTTACATTTTTACTGTTAACTCCTTTAATCTTTAGGTTCTGAATAGCTAGTTTCTGAATCAGAGTGAGGTAATTGGGGGAGTGTGTGTGCGCATGTGTGTGTGCACTATTAATGAAGTAAAAGGAACCATCATAAGACAGATAATTCCTTTGCTCTTGGGTTGAGTTCTTAAGTAGTTCTTGGCAGTGTGGTCCCTAGTGAGAAAAAATGATGTATCACATTCTTTAGTAGCCTTGGAAAATTTTAATCCTCTAGCAATTTTGTTCTCTGAGTAAGTTTAACTTAATATAAGGGGTTAGCCTAAAGCTATTGAATTATAAGTCTAATATTTAACCAAGGTTTATGTCCTTGAACCTCTTGACAAGAGATGCTACAGATTTTTAAATTGTTTGGTCTTTGAAATTCACTATGGTGTCTACTGGAAGATGAATATGGTTGGAAGCTTGTTGTAATATTTCTTAAAATTTTCATTAGTGATTTTTGCGATGAAACATTATGACTCATACTTATTTTCTCTTTCAGCATTATCTGCATACCAGAGGTACTACAGTTTACAATCTGACTACTGGAAGGTTAGTGCACATTTGAATCTCTATTTCCTGTTTTTCTGTTCTGTTTTGTTCTTTTGGCAGGTTATTGCTAGTTATACTAAAAGGGAGCTGAACTCTTGCTTTTTAAAAATTAGTTACTTGAAAATAGTTCTAGAGCAGAGAGATTGGAAATAGGTAAATGTGTAGTATTTTGTTTGTGCTACCCTACATGAACTATGTTTTATTAAAAGCATTAGTCTTTTGACCTGTTTGTCCAAATATCCTCTTAACTTGGAAACAACCCAAATGCCCAGCAACTGAGGAATGGATAAAAAAGCTATGGTATTTTTACACAATGGAGTATTACTCAGCTATAAAAAAAGATAAATTTGTGGCTTTTGTAGATAAATGGATGCAACTAGAGACTGTATTGGTAAGAGAAATAAATGAGATCCACATGTGCCAACATTGCATTATCTCACTAGTATGAGAACCTGAAAGAGTAAATAAAATCTGAAATGTACAACAGGTACCGTGAAAGAGAAAGAATTTGTTCAATGAGAAGGAAAAAACTGGGACAAGGAAAAGGACAAAAGAAAGGGGAAAAAGATATATTTATGTAGATATGCGGGATAATTTGGATAATTGCACTGCCAATTTCTTCTGCTGGTCTTTTGAAAGGAGCAGTTCATGCTTAAAATTGTTTTTTATTGTTTTTATTCTTTTTAATTTCTTATAACTTGTTTTTTAAACCACTTTGGCATGTTTGTATCTAGTAACTTAAACAACTAATTTGAAGATAACATGCAATGCAGCAACCATTGTTGAATTTCTTGTACTTTGTTTAGTGAAATTTTTCATTGTTTCTAATGCTGTTTTTTAAAATCACTATTTTGTATTCTTTAAACAAAGAAACAAAAACAAAGATCCTCTTAGATGTTAGAATTAAGAATAACCACCCCAGTAAAAAATGATTCTTTGGTTTTCTTGACCTAAGTTAGTACCTGGTAGTAAAAGTGGGCTGAAGATGGTTTTATCAGACTCGGAGTGGGAAGGTATAATGGGAAATTAATGACAAAATCTTTCTTACTATGGACTAGAGTCTATAGTTGGAGCTCTGAGCAAAGCAGGACTTAATTTTTTGGAAAAAGACCTGCCTAAATGAAGAATTGTTCAGAATGAATGGTGACTTTGTTTAATTAGTACATAAAGTTATCTGGACAGGTTTTCTTTACGTTATGTATACTTTTAAGTGTAAGTTCTCCCACATATACATGCCAAGCATGTAATCAGTTCTGCTGCAGTCAGTTGTATGTCCTTTTAGGTGGCTTTTAATTCTGACACTACTTGAAGACATCGGCTAAGGGCTCAGCCTCACAAGACTGTCTGCCTCAGATGCCATTTTTATTTTGTAGGTCCAGGCTTTCAGAACCTCTGACAGTAGTTCGTAATTTGTAGTTCCCATAGTCACTTCCTCTGATTCAATGAATTTGCAGGAATAGCTCACAGAATTTGGGAACTATGTTTACTAGTTTATTACAAAGAATCCAAATGAAAAGATTAAGAGAGTCATGTGTGAAGAGATTTGGCAATTCCATGCCTTTTCTAGGTATACCAGCCTTTAGGTACTTTTGCACGTTTGGCTATCCAGCAGCTTCCCGGACCCAGACCTTTTCAGGTTTTAAGGAAGGATCGTTTACATAGGCATGATTGATGAAATCATTGGCTTCTTTCAGCTGCTCTTCCTTCACCTGTGCTTGGGGCCTGGACTAAACAGTATCAACCTCTAGTCCTCCCTTGGTCTTCCTGTGACCAACACCCATTTTTAAGTTACCTGTCATTGTATAAGTATACAGAAGACACTCTTATAACTCTGGAGATACCAAGGTGTTTAGAAGCTTTTTGTCTAAAAAGAGAATGGAAACAAAATATATACCACAATGTTACAAATAGGTACAAACTTTTGTCATATTATCTTCATCTATTAAGTTCCTATGGAGTTTTAAAAATTTGCTATGTGGTGAATTAATGTTGGTTAATGTTTTTTCAAGTTATTCTTAAGGAGTCTTTGATATGTATTATCTTTTTTGTGTATTTTTGGCTTTTATTTAGTTATATTTGTTAAGGATTTTTTTTGTTTCTTTTTTGGTTTTTTGAGATGGGGGTCTTATGTAATTCAGGTTGGCCTTGAACTCACTATGTCGCCTAGGCTGGCTTCAAATTTGCAGCAATCCTCCTGCCTCAGCCGCCTGAGTTCTCTGCTTAAGGATTTCTTATGTTTGTGTTCATGAGTGGTTTTACACTGTATTTTCATGAGTGGTGTTTTGCTGTACTTATGATTTTATTTGATTTTCACATCAGGGTAATTCTGGCCTCAGAAAATGAGCTGAGAACTGTTTCCTGGCATTTTATTACAGCATCTATATTAATCAGGTGTATATCACTGTAATAAATTAATAGAGCTAGCTGATTTGCATATAGGAACCGTTAAATTTCACTCATAATTTTGTAGGCTGGATGAGAGTCTTCCTTGTCCCTGTCACAGCATTTTGGGATCTGTGTGTCTGGTCTCTGTTGTCATAGAACTGCCAGAATTCATTCTTAGGGGCTCCATCCTAATTACCTTTATGTAAACCTAATCATTTCCCAAAGTTCCTACTTCAAAATATTATAGTCAGATTAAGTTTTCACTCTCCTAATATATTAGCATAGGAATTTGGGCATTAAACTCCTATTGAAGTTAGGAATGAAATGGGAGACAAACTTTATTCAGATCATAGCAGAGTGTATATAGGATTTGTATTCCTTAAATTTTGGATAGAATTTACTCATGAGGTCACCTGGACCTAGAGTTTTCTTTGCAGAGAATTTTTTTTTTAGCTACAAATTTCAATTCCTTTAAAAGATACAGGCTACTAAAAGTTTAATTTCTATTACTTCTTGGATCAGTTTTGGTAACTTTTTGTCTGTTAAGATTTTATATGTATAGGGCCGGGGAGATAGCTCAGTAGAATAAGTGCTTGCGTGCCAAGCACAAAGTCCTAAGTTCAATCCCTGGTCGCAAAAAGGAAAAAAGTGAAGATTTTATATGTAATTTTCAATTTTTTTTCTCCTGTTGCAGTATTTTCCCTTGAAAAACTATTTAAATCTATAGTGGTATCTCTACTTTTTTTTATTCCTGATATTGTTAATTGGGTTTCCTTTTTTTTTGTCTTCTTCTTGCCCAGTTAGGCTTGAGATTTAGTTTTATTGTTCTTTCTTTGTAAAAGGTCAGATTTTTGTTCCATTGATGTTCTCCTCCCCCCCCCAACCAGGGATTGAACTCAGGCCCTTGCACTTGCCAGGCAAGGTGCATATTCTACTGAGCCATTTCCCCAGCCCCTTCCCCTCCCTCCATTTTTAAGAACTATTTTATTATTACCTTACTTCAGTTGTTCTAGTATCTTTTTCATTTATTTCTGCTTATTTTGTGCCCAATTTTCTCTTGTAATTAACTAAGTTATAGAAGTGCATAGTGTTTTTTTTTGTCCTCTTAATGGAAACTTTTTTTATTTTTTTTTATTTAGGGAAGGGTCTGCAGGGTGTTCAGGGTCTCACTACTAGATTGGACTCGTAGTGATCCGCCTGTATATAGCTTCGCAAGAGCTGGGATTACAGGCGCACCACCATGCCCAGTCTCATTTGTCACAATGCACCCTGGAGGCAGGGCCTGTTGGGGATCAAACCCCAGGCCCCTGCACCTACTTGCAGGCACTTTAATCCAATGAGCTATTTGGCCGGCCCTTTAGAAGCTTAAAAAAACCCCCAAAAAACCAAAATAAAAAAATCAAATTCATATCTTGGCTTTATTCATTATTCACCTTTTTTTCTTGTGGCTTTTCTCCACAGTGGAGTAGTGTAAACATTTAAAGGGATATATTTGTCTTAGTATTTGCTTTAGTTCTCCCCTACAGATTTTTATATTTTCATTGTGATTCATTTCATAATGCTCTTGTACTTTCATTTGTTCTTCTGATCCATGCATTATTCAGATGTGCACTATGTATTTTAAAATATTTGGGCTATTTGATTTCTATAGAGTTGTGATAAACCTGGCACCACCAAAGAATGGAGCAGCACTGAGAGAGGTGGAGGTGACCAGTTTATTACACCAGTGGACTGCCAGTGGACTCAGTATGTAGGGCTCAAAGTCTGAGCTTGGGGCATCTCTGGAATGGATTAGGGCTAGACAGTTTTTTGCTAGCTGGTCATTTTGCTTTTAAGTTTTAATTTGTCAGTTTTATCATCATCAAAGTTAATGATTTCTAGTTCTGTTTTACTTCTGTAGGAATATATTATTTTGAAATGTATTGAAACTTACTGACTCAACACTTGAAAGCAGAATATATGAATTGCAGCTGATCAGATTGTCCTGTAAGTGACAGATAAAGGTAGTCTTGGGTTTTTTATTTATTTTTTTTCTTTCTTGCTGATTTTTTTTTTTTTTTGTTGGGAGGGGTACAGTATTTTGTTTGCTGACAGTTACTATCTTCCTATAATCATGGAATTATCTTGTAATTTTGTTAATATATTCCTTTAATATATTTAGAAACTTGTGTTTGGTGCATTTAATTTATAATTATTTCTGTTGAATCAATTGGCCTTTTTATCTTGCATGAAATATTTTTTTGTTTTGACTTGTGTTTTATCTGATTAGCCTTTCTATCCTCAGGCTATTTGTATAATATATCTTTTTGATTTCACTTTTGACCTGGCATCTTTATATTTTTAGTTTTTCTTGTGTAAATTGCTAAGTGTGTCTTGCATTTTTTTCTGAAAATCATGTTGCTTTTGATAGTTAATGCACTGATGTGGTTGGGTTTCTGTTTTCACTTAATTATTCCTCTTTTGTTTGTGGTGTCAGTTTCTTGATCTTAGTTTTATCTTTACTCTTCCCTCTTCTTTTGACAGTTAAATATATTGTACACCTTCCCTTTACTTTTCTTACTGACTTTTTCAGCCATCCTTATTTTTATTTTATTTTCTAATGTTCTAGGGATTCT